TGACTTCAGCTGAGGCTGTCATTCTGCTGGAAATTTTCAGTCCCCTGTATGCACTTACAAAGCATCACCTCACTTAGCCTCTGAAAGCCTCTGCTTGCAGCCCCCCCTTGCAGCCCCCCCTTTCTCATCCTTGCGCTCCTGGTATCTGAAAGCTGAGCAGAGTCCTGCCACCACCTCCCCTTGTGTACAGTGTGGAATGTTCTTTTGTCAGCACTTGGCCTCTGAGCAATGTGTCCCAATCTTGTTTCTGCTGATGCCCCCAGCTCTTTCTTTTCCTGTTGTGGTTCTGATCCTTTTTTATTCTGTACTGTTATTTTAATGAGGTCTCCTGTTTGAAGAAAGCAGTGCATTTACTCAGTCTCCTGCCTTGAATGGGAGCTCCAGCCCTCTGCACTGCTCTGTAAGCTTGCTTTTTTTTTTGTTCTTTCTTTTTTGATCCTCGCCCAGCCTCCTTCCTCATTCCTGACATCAGTTAATTGCCTCCCTCATGCCTAGCAGAAAAAAATTAGAAACCATCAGATGGAAGTCCCTCTGTCCCCACCCTTTCCCTTCTGTCTGCCTTCCCTCCCAGACAAGGCATCCTCTTCCTCCTGCCCCCCCTCCCCTGCCCCTTGTATCTGCTCCTCGGCTGCATACAGATCCTCAGCCTCTCCCCACCCCACCTCCTCCAGGACCTCATCCACACCCTCAATCTGGGCATCTGGCTCTGGTCTTTTCAGACTTAGATTTTCAAGTGTCAGCTGAAAATCCTCACTCTCATGCCCACTGGTTCCTCAAATGCAACCTGGCCGAAGCTCACACCTTCATTTCTCTCTGAGAAAACCCCTCCTCCGGCGTTTCTCCCACTGTGCCGAGTGACTTTGGAGTCACTCAGTCCCCCAGCCCCAGGTTGGGCTGTGTTTTTACCTTCTTCGGTAGTTCTAGAACTGCACTGACCAGTACCCTCTCTACTAGTCACAATTATTTAGATTTGCATTTAGATTAATTAAAATCAAATGCAATTAAAAATTCAGTTCCTTCTGTGCACCAGGCGCATGGCAGGTGCTCAGTGTCACAGGTGACTGCCATGGCAGATAGGGCCACTGTCGAGCGTTCCGTGTCACGGGGAGCTCTGTGGGACAGCTCTGGTCCAGAGTGGACATGTCTGTCTTCATTCCTGCTCTGCTGACAGTGTCTGAGCTCTGGTCGTTTCTCACCTATCCCACTGGTGAAGCTCACCCCTTCCTCCTTCTCACTTCAGGCCATTCTCTTCTAATTCTTCTAATCAAAGTGTTTTAACAAAACTCTCAAATACCAAAGAGGAGCAACTGTGGCCTTTTAATGTCATTTCCTCACTCAAACCCTTCAGAGTCCTCTGGTAGCTTCTCTTCTTCATGTGACTGTTAGACACTTTAGCCCTTGGATGGCATCCAGGGTTTGCCTGCTCGGGGACGGCGGAGGGGACGTCTCTGGCTGTGCTTTCACGCTCCCTGTTGGTGCCCCTTTTCTTTCTTTCTTTCTTTTTCTTTGCAGTTTTGGGCCGGGGCTGGGTTTGAACCCGCCACCTCCAGTATATGGGGCCCTGCCTTACTCCTTTTAGCCACAGGTGCTGCCCGGTGCCCCCCGGTGCCCCCTTTTCATAATCTATCTCTCATTGGCATGTTTACTTGTAGGCAGTACCTTTAGAAGAAAGGAGGAGATGGCCACTCACATCTTGTTCTGTTGTTGAGGAGCCCAACTGAGAAAGACTTTGAATGTGAGGTGTGACCTTCCCACAGGTATCCCTCCCTGCCTCGGGTTAGCTTTGCTTCTTGTCTATCCCTTGGCTTGAAAATATGTATTTTTCAGAGAGAAACATATTCCCTTTAATAAAAATATCTCCAGCTGGGCACATGCCTACACCCCCAGCTACTCTCTTGAATGCAGGACTTCCAGGCCAAGGTAGTGAAACTGTTTCTTTAAAAAAAATTTAAATGAAAGAGAGGTATTTTAGTCATATACCACAAACTGGTGGCTTAAAACAGAACTTCTGAGGCAAGAGAATCACCTAAGCCCAAGAGCTGGAAGTTGCTGTGAACTGTGACACCACAGCACTCTACTGAGGATGACAAAGTGAGACTCTGTCTCTAAAAACAAATAAATAAATAAAATAACTTTATTTTCTCACAGTTCTGGTGTGTAAGAGTCCAAACTCAAGGTGCCTGCAGGGCCACGCTCCACAAAAGGCTCCAGAAGAGAAGCCTTCCTTGCCTCTCCCGCTTCCAGCAGCCCCTGGTGCTCTTTGACTTTGTCATTCTCTGCCCCCCTGTTCACACGACCTTATTCCTGTGTGTCTGTGTCTCCAGCCTCAGGTGGTGCCCTCCTTTCTCTTCTGAGGACACCACCCAGATAAGAGATAGAAGATACAGGATATAGGACACACCCTAAATCTGAGATGATCTCACCTTGAGATCGTGAATTTAATGACATCTACAAAGACCCTATTTTGAAATAAGGTCTCATTCACAAGTTCTGGGGATTAGAATCTGAACATATCTTTTGGGAGGGTCTCAGTCCAACCCTCTGTGATGGGTGAGAACCTTGGTAGCTCCCTTTCTGCCCCTCTCCAAGCTGTGCCTGTGCAGAATCAGCACACTGCTTGTAGTCTTCATTTCTGTGCATTTATTCACTTAAATTAGTTAAGATCCTCACCCCAAATCAAGAGCAGGGAGAAGGTTGTTAACTCAACCTGCCACCTTTCTCTCCACGATTCTCCTTTCAACTGGGTCCCCCCGCCCCTGCCACTGGCTAGCAACTATCATTAAAGAATGAGGCCTAGCCCAAAATAAACACATTAATCATCCTTTAGTTTTCAAAGACATTCTCTGGATCCAAAGTTTTTAAAATAAAAATATATGTTTAGATTTAGGACTTATTTTAAGTGCATGTATGCACACACATACCCCATGGAAAATGGCTAGAAGCAATTATCTTTGTATAGTAAGAAAGAACATAAGTACTTGTACTGTTTTTATTTTTTGGTATCATCTAAATTTTCCACAATGAATATGTTTTACTTTTGTGATTAGAAGAAGAAACGTTTTTAAAACATGGGTACTTTTAATGAAGTCTTTATAAATTGCCCAGGACAATTTGTATTTTTAAACAAGCAAGATGAGTAGGCCAGTTAGGATTCTGGGACCAGACCACTGATTGTTTTGTGTACAGTTCAGACACAATTTAGGTTTTAGAGTGGTGTTAACGTTAATTATTCAGGACCTCATCAGATTTTCCCAGCACTGGAAATTGAAACCCGTGGTCTCTCCAGGGAGGTCTCTGCAGTGCCTGATGGGAAAATGGGCCCACTCCCTTTGCCATGTGGCACAGTGAGGAGTCCGCCCCATTCCCATTCTTGGTTTGTTGGGGACCATTCCAGAATGAGCCCTACAATCTCTCACCACCAGTCCCGTTTGGCTTCAGCAGGCACACATTTTCCTGGTCTTTAAGCCAGTTTGAGGTCAGCTCTGTGTCTGGAGTGTTGGGACAGCACCCGCTTCCCTCAGCCCACAGTACTGGGACCGCGGCACAGCATCAGCCACTTCTGAGCGGCTCCACCATTGCCTGCAATTTGCTCCCAGGGAATTTTCCTATTTTGGCTTCTAATATGTTGATGAATTATTGAAATTTCAATTACTTTTTGTTCCTAAGTTAGAAGGATAGAGACATCCCAGACATTTAATATGAAAAGCTTTCCAGAGACTGTTAGACAAGAGGCCACTGCCCATTCTCTGCCCTTGTCTGGAAGAGATTTGGTGGCAGGGCTGGCACTGAGGGATGGCTCCACTCTCCCCATTTAGGGGACTAAAGTGCTTTGTGGCCTTGCAAGGTCCCTTAGGTCAGTGCCACTCAGGCGCAGTCCGCTGGCAGCAGCAGCAGCATCTTTGGGGAGCTTGTTGATCCTGAGCTTCATCAGAATCCCTGGGGATGGGCCCCCGGAACCTGTGTTTTAACAAGCCCCTCAGGGGATCCCGGTTATGCCTTTAGGTTTGGACAGCCCTGCCTTAAATGTCCTCATGCTTTTTCTTCCCAGCAGGATCTGATGCCCAGGTGTAAGGGCCTGGGTACTGCAATGAGTTTGCCCTTTCCTGATGATAAAACTGTAACCAAGGCTGTCAAACCAATTTCTAGCAACTGTTTTCACTCACTTGGAATACCTATCTCTTTGGAAATGGCCAAAGCAGGATTTGGACATGTAAATCCTGTGCCAGTAAATGAGTGTTTTAAATGCGATTCAAAGGGCCCTGTGTCTCTTTTGCATATAGAAGGGCTATTTAGATTCCCACCCACTGTCCCAGGGACAGTTCCACCTTTAAGTCACTTGGGGAGAAGCTGCTGGTGCCAACCCTGTCTGTTTACCTTAGCCTAACTACCCCCACCCCCAACAAAAGACATCTCCTCTAAACCACACACACTGGCCAACCTGCAGCCTGTCACCCTAACACCTATGGCCCAGTGCAAACTCTTCACCCCCGCCCCCGCCATGCCAGCCCCTCACTTGTTCTTTCATACTCGGGAACCACTGCCCTCTAGACAGTCCGGGTGACTTCAGGTAGATTCTTTCTTCTGCTTCCTGTAGCACTTGAGATCGATATTTACAGCATGCAAGGATGCTTGTGTGGAAGTCATTTGTCTCTTTCCTCCTCTGGGCTCTGAGCAGCACAAGAGCAGAGACGGCATCCTGGTTTCTCTGTGCGCAGTACCCAGTGCAGATTCAGGAGTGTGGGGCTGAAGGAACAAACATTCCTTGACAAAGACAGTCATCCCTCTTCTGCTGACATGACATGTTCACCTCATGCTTGAGGAAGAAGAAATGATGATTCGTGGCAGGTCTGGTTAAATGTAAGGTGACTTCTGTGGACTCAGCTGATCCAGGTTGTCAGTGGGGCCCATCCCTTTATGTGAGGCTCTTGCCTCACCATCTCCCCACCTGGCTCTTTGGCCAGGGAAAGCGCCAGTCGTGTCTAAAAGCATTATGGTTTCAGGTGCGAGAGCTTCAGACTCGACTGCAGAGCGTTCAGGCCACAGGTCCCTCCAGCCCTGGCCGCCTCACGTCCACCAACCGCCCAATTAACCCCAGCACCGGAGAGCTCAGCACAAGCAGCAGCAGCAATGACGTCCCCATCGCCAAGGTGAGCTCCTGGGCCGGGGGGCCGGGCAGGGACACCTCCACCCTCCGGAAGCAGCAGCCTCACCCTAGCTGCCATGAGTGCAGGCAGCCTGCGAGGCCTCCCCTGGGACCTGCGCAGTCCCCGCGCTGGAGCTGCAGGGAGAGATAACCCACTAATAGTTTTAAGCCTCCCTCAGCTGCAACCTGGACGCCAGCTCTCATTAATCAGCCAGCTGGAGAATGTCACAGCTGACAGGTCATTGTGAAGAGTGAACCATTTTGTCAAGGGCTACAATACTTCTCCATGGAACTGGGAGTTTCTCTCAAGGACTAAGGTTCAGCCCAGCAGGGGACACTGAGTAATGAACCAGTGATCTCCCCACTCAGAAGACTAACAGCTCTGCCAGCAGAAAGGCAGCTTATGCTGGCCAGGTGTGGCAGCTGTGAGAGTAGCCCCGGCCCACATGTTGAGTCTGCCCCACAGTTAAAATGACACGTGGTGGTGTACCTGGCAGCCCTACTTGTCTCCTCAGTAAGGTCGCTTCTCAACTATCAGGTTTAGTAAGGTAGGTAAATGAGTGTTCCCACCCAGAAGGGATTTCTATCCCATAGGGGACATTTGGCAGTCTTGAGAGACATTTTTGATTTTTTTTTTTTTTTTTTTTTTTTTTTGCTGTTTTTGGCCGGGGCTGGGTTTGAACCCACCACCTCTGGCATCTGGGGCTGCCTCCCTACTCCTTTGAGCCATAGGTACTGCCCTGAAATTTTTGATTTTTATAACTCAAGTGCTGCTGGCACCTGGTAGCTGGAGGCCAGGGATGCTGTAAACATCTCTCATGCCCAGAGCAGCCCCTACTGCAAAGAATTACCCAGATCGGAACATTAATGGTGCTGAGGCCAAGAGAGCCGGGTTAAGCTATGGTAGAAAAACTGGACAAGTGAGTAGTTCTTAAAAAATTAATCTTTCAGTTGACTTGGTAAAACACCCTGTATATCGTAGGCTCAACAGTTTATCTGGGGAGCGCTGCAACGCTTTTTGTAACTTTTTGTTTTGTTTTTTAAGATTGCTGAGAGGGTAAAGCTATCCAAGACGAGGTCCGAATCCTCCTCATCTGATCGGCCAGTCCTGGGCTCGGAAATCAGTAGCATAGGGGTGAGTGTTCATGAGAAGTGTGACGAGGAAGGACCCAAGAGAGACACAAACGCTGGCTGATGGATGACAGAAGAACTTGCACAGTTTACCTCTGATAAACCAGTTAGTTACAACAGGAAATCATACATATTTCCTTCCAAAGGATCAAATTAAAATGTTGAGTGATTTCTATCCACACAGTGAATTATTTCTTCAGCTTAAGACAGACTTCATTTTGAAGCCATTCTGAAGGAAATGACTTAGGTCCGGGTCTGGTGATGGAAATAAAGTCTGGCAGAATCCGTTTCATGTGCCCTGCTCTCCCGGAGAGCCAGGCAGTCACAGAGCTCTGGAAGAACCTACCTCTTGCACTCCCCTGTCGGAGGGAGTGTGCTCTCCAGTGAGGATGAATGATGCCTTTGAAGTGTATCCCCATACAAGGAAAAGACTGGAACCTTCCAGTTTAGTGCCAGAGTTTTCATTTGTAGGGCCTGGGAACCCCTTGGGGCCATAAGAGCCAAGGGGTGGTGAAAGGGAGTGGCTTCAGTTCCTTCAGGGGTATCTTTGAGGATTGGGGGTAAGGCAAGGAGAGCCAGTTATTTGATGCACAGGGGTGTGGAGAGCTCAAATAGCACCTTTAAGGCCCTGCTCAATTTTGCACTGAGCAAAAATTGCGTGTGTTTGGATTCCATGCCAAAGCCAAATCATGAAGGTGAAGGGGTCAGCCCCTCTCCTTGGTATGGTAAGCAGAGAGTGTAGGTTGGAGTGGTGGGACTCTGCATGGGGCAAGGAGTCCAGACTCTGTTCAAAATTCAAAATGTTAGGGACCCTACAGAGGCACAGTCCCCCCCATCGTTGCTGGTGAACAGCAAGTAGTTGGGAACACAGCTGTACTTTGCTCCTATTCTGCTAATATGTCCTACTTTCCTAGTAGTTTGGGTTTTATGCTGGAATTTTACCTACTGAGAACCAGGGGGTAACCACCTGCTGGTGCAGGATTCTGACTGAACATGAGCTTTGAGTTATTATGTGTGCAGAGCATGCCTGGGGACCAGCACCCCTGAAGCGACACTGCCCAAAGGGAAACTAATGCTCCTCTGTGCAGGTGTCCAGCAGCGTGGCAGAGCATCTGGCTCACTCACTCCAGGACTGCTCCAACATCCAAGAGATTTTCCAAACACTCTACTCACATGGATCTGCCATCTCTGAAAGCAAGATTAGGGAGTTTGAGGTGGAAACAGAACGGCTGAATAGGTAAGGAGCACTGCTGTGTACGTGATGGGGGAGCACAGAGAGGTAGAGGATAATGCCAGGCTGGTGGGGCCAGCAGTGTCCACCAGCTCAGCCATCAGAGCAGTGCTTGCCGAGGTCAGGGTTGGCTTCACGGCTGTGTGACCTGAGCATTTGCACAGGGCCTTGCTCAGAAAGACCCCACCCTTGCTGTCAGCATTTTAAATTCTTAGTAATTTATGAACAAAGGACCCCACTTTCTTGTTTTATGCTGGGCTCTGCAAATTACGTAGTGACTCCTGCAAATAGTCCATATGGAATGCAAGTAGGTCACAGAAGGGTGCCAAGCATGCAGGCCTGTGCTGCAGACAACCACAGAGGGAGGTTCTGGAATGCTGAGTCAGCATCCCAGGGGTGCCTGGAGCCACGGGAACCAGCAAAGGCAATCTGCTGAGACGTTCCTGGCACTGCCCAGGCCCACTGGTCTAACTCCCCTTTCTCTTCCTGATGGGTTGCCTAATTTTATTTACGCTCTTTGCAAATGTGCCCAATTCTGATTCCTATATCCTATCCTAACTGTCCCGCTTAGAATAATTGTACCATGTACCCAGTTTTATGGAGTCTTTCCCAGTCTCATGAAAGTGGTAGTTTGGATTTGTACTCTTACTGGTTGGCAAAGAAGTGTGTCCTGATGGGTCATCCCAGTGAGGAGGGAGTTGCTAAAAAGGCAAAGAAGGACCTGGGCCAAACCATGGCAACCACTCTGGCTCAGAATTGTTCTGCAGTGGCAGAATGGACTGTTGGATCGCATCCTAGTGTGGCGTGGCTGCCCTGACCTGCCAGTCTTCAGCGGGAGAGTGTGGTAGGAATCTGAAAGCCGTACGAGCTAAAAAACCAGGAAGAAACGCAGATACCAGTCCCCATCTATTGTTGCTTACTTCTGTTCCCCTCATGTATGGCAACCCTGAATAAATTGAATTATCATCTTAGCCCTCCCTGATTTGAAGCTGTGTAATAGAGTTCTTGAGAACTAAGGAAGCTGGTGATCTAGGTCATTTTAAATCTTAAAATTAAGTGGTTTCTTTATTAAATCCAAAATACTTGAGAGTGATAATCCTGATGATTCCCTTGTAGCAGTGAAGAAGTAGTCTTCTAGGTATCACTGGCTTGGGAGTGCTTAAAAATCGAATCAGATGTGCTCTCTGCAGTCTAATGAAGCCAAATGCCTTCAGGGGGCTCTCTGTTCAACAAGGTCCCCTCTCTGCAGGCTTGGGGATTTAACAAGTCTGCTCTGTGGCTGGACTGGGGGAAGGTTCCTTCCTCCTCTGGTACATGCAGGAGAAACCAAGGAAGAGGGGAATGTTTGGTGCTTGTAGTTTACGTTATTATGGTATTAAACAGCTCACAAAGGGATCTCACACACAAATGCTTAATCCTCACCTGGTGAGGATGGGGTAGTCCCTGCCCATTTTGCAAATGTTAAAATAAAGGCTATGAATTTGCAGTTTGAGTCCGGAGTTATTAAGTACCTGGGGCAGAATTCTGGCCCATCTCCTTTGATCTCACCTGTCCACTCTGTGATCACAGCTGCTGCTGGAACCTGGGGTTCTTAGAACTAATCTTCCATCGTGTCCTGATGTCTGTCATGTAGCTCCCTATCTCAAAGTTAGAGACCTGTTCCTCTCAAAATATGTTAGCCTTTAAATCCCAAGAGCAATTTAAACCTCCCAAGAAGGAAGGCTTCCCATTCAGGTTGTAAGGGAAAAGGAGCAGCCATATGACAAACAGAGATTCTTATGGGCTGCTTTAACAATCATAGGCTAGAAAGAGGTTGGCACAAAAAGGAACCATCCAAAGGCCAGTGGAGCTCGGAGGCAATGAGTGGAAGGGGAAGATCCTTGAGATGAGGTAGCTGAGAGGCCCAGATACAGATGTTGAGGCCATGGGCAAACTTTGCTTTCTATTCTAAGTGCAATTGGAAGGAAGTTATTAGAATGTTTAAAATGTGGGAAGAACAAGATCTGATTTACATGCTGGACTCTCCCTTGATGTGGAGAATGTGAAGGGGGACATCATACCAGAGCAATCATAGCAGTGGGCTTGGTAGCACAGGCTCAGGATCCATGCAGTGCTATGAGCAATCGAGCCTGCAGCTAGGGTAGTTCTGGGTGTGAGAGCAGGGGACAGTCCCCAAGGAGACTCTTGGGGGTCTAACGTATAATGTTGGGTAGATGGTGGTGGCAGTTACTGGGAGAAGGTAAGGTTTGGGAAAATCTCGAGTCCTGTTTGGAATGTTAAATTGAGAGAGTGACACTGTGACACCCAAACGGAAATGTCAGGAAGAAGCTGAATGTGTGAGCCCAGCCCTCAGAATAAAGGTCTGGGCTGGAGAAATTTGGGAGCCACAGGCTCTAAATGCCTATGAAAATCATGGGATTGGATGGAATTACCCCTAGGACCCTAGGACTGAGCCCCGAGGCAGTGCCAAGCCATGTACACCTGTAGTCCCAGCTACTGAGGAGACTGAGGCAGGAGGATTGCCTGAGCGCAGGAGTTGGTGGTTGAGTGAGCTATGGAGCAAGTTGAAAAGTAAATGAGTGGTGACTGTCTTAAGAAATCTTTATTTTTTCTTTTTAAGAGACAGAGTCTCACTTTATCACCCTCAGAAAGTAGAGTGCCATGGCATCACAGCTCACATTTTAAGAAATCTTTTTTTGAGACTTTTTTGAGGGGTTTGCTCTGTCTCCTAGGCTGGAGTGCAGTGACATCATTATAACTCACTGCAACCTCGACCTCGTAGGCTAAAATGATCCTCCTGCCTCAGCATCACGAGTGGCTGGGACTACAAGTGTACCACCACACCCTGCTGGTTTTTCTGTTTTATGGAGATTCTTGCTTAGTCTGGTCTCAAGTAATCCTCTTGCCTTGGCCCCCAAGAGTGCTGGGATTACAGTTGTGAGCTATCATGCATAGCCTCAAGAAGTGTTCGTATGAATGGGGACAGGGAGGTATTCTTGTAACATATTACCTTGAAATGACCTTGGAGTTGGCAGAGCCGTGCAGTGGTCTTGATTGTACACTCACTGGACCCCTCCCATATTGGCAAGTGTCTCCACAGTCTGTTATAAGATAGACGATTCTAAGATTTATCCTTGAGGCTAATAGCTTGCAATCCCTTAACATTTCAGAAGTCACTTGTATTTTGTGTGTATGCAACCCTATTTTCTCTCTAAGACTTGGTGATTAGAGTACTATAAACAGGTGTGTCGCATGGAAAATGAATCATCCTACCTCGAGCTTCTAGGCCTGGGGAAAGAAAATGGAGAAGCTAAGGGATTATATATCTTTGATTTGTTTTCTGACTTGGCACAAAGTCTTTTGCCCTGAATTGCAGTCCTGGGTCCCACTAGTAGTTAGAATTCTGAGACTGTAACCTGGATGGACCTCTGACCACAATTCATATTCCTGATCCATTGCCCACCTTCAGGACCAGTTTCATGTTCACACAGTGTCTTAGTCCATTTTATGTTGTTATAAAAGAATAACTAAGGCTGGGGATTTGTAAAGAAAAGAGTAGTTTGTTTATTGGGGTTTTTTGTTTGTTTGTTTGTTTTGAGACTGAGTCTCACCCTGGGTAGAGTGCCATAGTGTCATCACAGCTCACAGCAACTTCAAACTCTTAGGCTCAAGCCATCCTCCTGCCTCAGCCTCCCAAGTAGCTGGGACTACAAGCGCTTGCTGCTATGCCTGGCTAATTTTTCTATTTTTAGTAGAAACGGGGTCTGCCTCTTCCTTAGGCTGATCTTGAACTCCTGAGCTCAAGCAGTCCACATACCTCAGCCCCCCAGAGTGCTGGATTATAGGCGAGCACCACTGCCCAGCCAAGAAAAGAATTCCATTTGGCTCGTGGTTCTGCAGGCTATACAAGCAGCACAGTACCAGTGTCTGCTTCTGGCACAGGTCTCCAGCTGTCTCTCCTCTTGGCAAGGGAGCCAGCATGCGTAGAAAGCATGTGGCAGGACAGCAGGGAGGTCCCAGGTGCTCTTCAACAAGCAGTACCTAGGGTTAGAACTCTGCTCAGCAGCGATCTTCCTCTCCCAGCCCACATAATTCCCACAGGGCCCCAGCTCCACCATGATCAAACCATTGCCCTCCCTGCGTCATCTTCTGTTTCTGCTCTGTGGTATGTGATTAAGAGCACAGGATCTGGGGTCAGACAGCTGGTTCCAATGCCAGGGCCAAGGTCATTAACCTTTCTGCACCACCTCGTGCTCACCAGAGAAAGGAAGATGATAAGACTTAATTCAAAGGGCTACTGGGAGATCATTATTGAGCAAACAGTAGCTACTGCTAGGATGCTGCTTTTCATTTGTTCCCGTGGAGGGCGACTCACTGAGGCCCGCCAGATGTTCCTGGTGGGGAGGGTGCTTAGCTGCCCTCTATCCTGGGCAGCACCCCACCCTACCCCCCAACCCAGCACAGGACCCGGCTCATGGCACCCATGGGATGAGCATGGTGGCAGCTAGGTGGGAAATAACCAGGAGGCTTTTTATTTCTTTCTAATTCACACAGAATTTAGGGATTTTTTTTTTAATTTAGGTAAGTTGTGACCTGGATTATTTTGTGTCCATTCCCATCTGGCCAGCCCCCATCCTAACATGCTTTTCTCACCTGAATATAAATGAGACAACTGAAATGTTGGCATATGGGTTAGAATCCTGTTGTGAAAGTAATTTTTTCTTTTTAGCCGCATAGAACACCTCAAGTCCCAAAATGACCTCCTGACCATCACCCTGGAGGAATGTAAGAGCAACGCCGAGAGGATGAGCATGCTGGTGGGCAAGTACGAGTCCAACGCCACGGCGCTGAGGCTGGCCCTGCAGTACAGGTAGGGTGGGCCTGAGACATGGCCGGGCTCCTGTAGCTGCTGTAAGTTACAGGTGCAGCCAGGGTGACCTGCACAGAACTGGGAAACAGGCTTTTAGGAGGCAGAACTGCGGGGTTGAACCAGCAGATAGTATTCATAAATAGGTGTGTTTTAGCATATTCAATTGCAATATCATTTCATTTAAGTAATATCACGCAAAAGATCAATTTTTGTGATACATAGTCATCTGTTGTTTCTGGTCTTTGTTCATAGTCACATACATTTTTTTCTTTTTTGGCCAGGGCTGGATTTGAACCTGCCACCTCCGGCATATGGGGCTGGTGCCCTACCCTTTTGAGCCACAGGCGCTGCCCCACAGTCACATACATTTTAGATTGTTGTAAATCTAATATATTCTATTTCTTCAATTTGGTGTCATTTGAATATATTAATTTTGAATGGCTGTGATCCCTGCTTGGAGTTTACATACTGTTATTTATTTAGTCTTTTCTGTAAAAGACATTTAGACTTTCGCAGACTTTGATATTTGAAATAATCCTAAGGTGAATAAATCAATACAGATAAGATAGTCTTTTTTTAGTATTTTCTTGAGATAAAAATCACTGAAGCAGGAATTATAGGTCAAAGGACATGACTATTTTCCTGGCTTTTCAGGCATGCTGCTGACTTTTTCCCATAGAAACGGCCAGTTTAAACAGCTACAATTCCTGCCGCGCTGGGGAGCGCGTGGTAATTTGAACGCACTGGTGTTTTGCTACCTCGTCAGCTTTGGGGCTTATCTGTCTGAAGCTGCAAGACTGTGCTTTCTCGTTGTCTTCAGAGGTTTATTTTAAGAGCATAACTACTTAAACATACTTGCCAAGGTCTCATAGTAGTTGATTGTATCTTAGCTTCCTCTAAAAAGTTCAATATTGTTTTAAGAAATGTTTATTTTATAAATAGCCAAACCAAAACATAGGCAGCCCAAGCCAGAGAACAGTCATACTAGTTTACAGACACACCCAAGCAAGCAGATGACCCACCGTGGTGACTCTTGAAACTGGCTATTCTCAGAAAGGTCTTTGTCCACATTAGTACATCTTCAGGGATGAGGAAATGTCCTAGACTCTCTAACCCGAAATATGGCCTGGCCTTGAAAGGCAGAGCCGGCAGCACTCAGAGCAAGTGATTGGCCCCTTTTCTCTTTAACTCTGAGTGAAGGACCAAGAAAGTAAAGATGACCCAAAGCAGGCGGTGTTGACTAAATGCTGACTGAAGCAGCATTTCCCCTGCCCTGAGTGGAGAAGCTCTCTGGTTATTCGCTTAAGGAGGAAATCTTGCTGCTGCAGGTGTCCTGTCTGGGACCACACAGGTGTCGTGCACACAGCCTTTCTCCTGTGGGCGTGGGTCCCTGTGGGTCTCGGCCGTGGGACAGGGGCTATTCTTTGATCTCTGCCTTGCTTGCCCAGTGGATGATGGGCACAGGGAAGGATGACTATGGTTCTTCCTCTCAGAGATCCAAATTCAAAGTCTCGTCAGGGACTTTGTGATGGCCTAAGTGTGTTTCATGAGACAGTTCTTACCCTTACAAGCATCTAATCTAATTTTTCTGTGAAGATGGAACATGTAGTGGAGGGATTAGACTTTTCATTTTATTTAAAATAAAATGTATATAATTTTAATAGCCACATGTGGCTTCTGGCTACCATACTGACCAGTGCTGACCTAGGTCCAGATGACTCCTTATGGGGTGTTAGGTTAGCTGCCTATTGCTGTATAACTAATAGTTTATTACATCACACTTCCAAGGGTCAGGAATCTGGGAGTGGCTCTGGTTCAGCTGTCAGCTCAGGCTGCATCATCTGAAAACGGGCTGGAGGATCTGCTCACTCACGTGGCTGTTGGCTGGAAGCCCCAGTTCTTTCCCAGCCATTGGCTGGAGGCCATGGGTCTCTCTGTAGGACTCTTGAGAGTCTTTAAGAAATGACAGCTGGCCTCCTCTGGAGGGCACGATCTAGGAGAAAGTAAAGTGAGAGAGAGTGACCAAAACAGAAGTCATGGTGTTTTTCAATAACCTAATCTTGACAGTGGCCTCCTGGCAGATCCACCATATTCTGTTAGTCTCGCAGACCAACCCTGGTTGGCCGTGGGTGCCGGGGTGTGGGGCTCTGCCTGGAAGCTGGCTGCACAGATGTGCCACACTACCCCCTTAGCTGATCCCCAAAGAGGCAACACACTTGCATCGCCCATTAATTCCTTCTCTTATTTTTTTTTTTTTTCTGTAAACCTAGTTTAAAGTTTCATAATGAAAAAAAAATTGCATCCACTATTCATTGAGGAGTATACAGAAAGAAAAAGGCCAACACAAAGGAACAAGCCCCGGCCTTGTCTGGGGAATATTCACGGGGGGTTTCCTTGCCTGTTGGGGAGTGAGGCTGAGGCAGAGCCCAGGCTGCCTCCCGCCCAGGAAGTGGCTCTGGGGTGGAGGTGGCCGCCGCCCCGCTGAGCTGAGTGCTGTGCCTGTGTTTCAGTGAGCAGTGCATAGAGGCCTATGAGCTCCTGCTGGCGCTGGCCGAGAGTGAGCAGAGCCTCATCCTGGGGCAGTTCAGAGCCGCCGGAGTGGGCTCCTCCCCTGGTGAGTATTTCCCCAGTCCCTCTTCCTCATCGTGTCCCCTGCCGCTTTTGCTCCACTCCCCCATCTCAGCTGCTGTCATTGAATCATCAGTGAAATTCAGTTGTCAAGTGTGGTTTTCGTTTTTCCTCATGACTGAGTGGGTAAATTGTTTGTGTTGAATGCAGCAAGAACTGGGGTGGAAACAGAACTACAGGCAAGTCAAAGCAAACAGCCTCCTCAGGGAATGCATTCTCCTGGGCTGACTAGGACAAACAGAGCAGGGCGGGCTCACAGAGGTGATTAAAGGTGCAGCCTGGCCGTAGCTGCCTGGGACGCTGGTGCCCAGGGCCTCTGCTGCCCACGTGGCTGCTGCCTGGTCTTGGTGCTTCTCCACCTGTGTTTCTTGGAGCCATTCTGAAGCCTGGGTTCCCCTGACCTCATCTCCGGGCCTCTTATGCATAAAGAAGTAGTAGCTTCACATCTACTCTTGTCAGTCACAGAATGTTCACCCCATGAGCCATGGGCCCTCCAGCTGGCCTCTCTGCTGTCTTTCAGGCCCCTGGGTTCTATTGGCCTGGCCTGTGCTTCAAGGTCTGCACTGCCCCTCCCTTCTACCCCACAATTTTGAATAAATCGGAGGCGAGGCTCATTGGACAGGATGTAGGCACGGCAGGCCAGAGAGCAACGTTGCTACAACTCGACCAGCAGCTGGGTCTGAGCCCTGCAGCCGCGTGAGGAGCGTGTAGAAGGAATAGCCCTAGAAAGAGACTGGGCCACCTCTCAGTGGGAGCTCAGCCCCAGACACTGCCTCACCCTGCGCTTTGGAGAAACCACAGCATGTAAAGTGAGTGCAGAGGTGACTGAGTCACATAAGAGCCAGAAACGGGTGGCCTGGGCAGGTCCGGTGTCCCCATCTGTGGTGACCAGGCCATCATCACAGACTGGCTATCAGCTGTGAACTTCCTTCCAGGATGGCCAAGACCCACAAAGAAGGTCGCCAGACCCCTCGCTGGTCCTCCTTGCCACTTCCTCCCCTTGCCTGGGGCAGCTCTGGTAACTCCCTGGCTTTGACACGTGTAGGGAAAGGGGCAGCACCGGAAGTGTTCATTCCCTGCTTCATATCCAGGTTATCCAGCAGGGGAGCAAGCCTGCATTGGTGTAGGTGGCCATTCCTCTAGTTTCCTCTTCTTTTTAAAATAATATTACCATCCCTGCCCAGAAGGAAAAACCCTGCCAGCATTTCCATTAGAAACCTCATTTTTTCAGTCTTTTAACTGAACCATAAAACTTTATTCCTCATATAAAACAGATACTAAAATGGTCTTGAGCTGCTGTCAGGTTTTGTTAATTAACATATTAAGAAAAATGATCAATTAAGGAAAAAAATCAATCATCTGATTTCTAGTTTGTATCAGAGGAACATCTTGACCTGTTCTGTCCTCACAAGGTACGTTTCTTTAGGCTTGTGCCTCCTTGATGCAGCTACCCAGTGTAGGAATTGTAAGGGCTTAAAAAAGTCTGCATTAAACATTTAAAATCAGTAATAAGCCAGGCATGGTGGCTCACACCTGTAATCCCAGCACTCTGGGAGGACAAGGTAGGTGGATCTTGTGAGCTCAGGAGTTTGACACCAACCTGAGTAAGAGCAAGACCGCATCTCTACTAAAAACAGAAAAACTAGCTGGGCATTGAGGCAGGTGCCTGTATTCCTGGGTACTCGAGAGGCTGAAATAAGAGGATGGCTTGAGCCCAGGACATGGAGGTTGCTGTGAGCTGTGATGCCACGGCACTCTGCCCAGGAAGACTGAGTAAGATTCTGTCTCAAAAATAAATAAAAAAAATTAAATTAATAATGACATTCTTTGTATTTACCTGATAGGGGTAGCTCTTGTACACTTTTATAAGACGAGCCAGTCAGAAGGGTCATGCCTGCTTCAGAGCAGAATTCCAATGGCAGTCAGCTGGGGAGTTATATGTAAAACATGATTTGTGGAAAGAACAGTGTGAAGGTTGTTGGAGAGATGGCGGGAGGGAAGTTCAGGGCCTCTGGCACGACATGTCCTTCTCCTGCCCCCACCGCAGTGCTGAGGGCTTCATCTATAGTGTCCCCTTAATCTTACACTTCTGTTCTGTCAGCAGCAGTCGGCCATATAGTTGTTATACTGCAAAGCAAGAATTAGTTTGTGACTTTTACCCACAGTATCCATTATTATGGTCCTTTCCTTTGTCACCGTTGACTTCACAGGCATGGATTAGGTTACACTAGTCACAGGTGTCCAACCTTTCTCTTCTCTGCTGCAAATTGGAAGAATAAGAGTTGTATTGGGCCACACATTAAATACACAAACACTAACGAAAGCTAATGAGAAAAAAAAACAAAAAAGGTCCGTGCATACTTTCCATGATATCCAACATCATAGGTAAGCAAATAATCAGCATATGGCCCTTGGGCCACAGATTGGACACCCCTGCAAGATGCTTTTGGCTAGTTGTCTTCCAGGTGTGCTGTGGGAAGCTGGAGGAGTTTCTCTGGGCCTCAGCAGTGGGGTGGTTTGGCAGGTGGAACAGTGAGCATGTCCCCCTACTCCTGGCCATGCAGTTCTTCATGTACCATTTTTGTATGTTAGCAAAACATTTTGTTTTTTTTGGCATAAGATCTCACTTGAAAATATTTGGAGGAGCATAATCCATGCCATTCGGGTAGCAAACTGTTAACTCCAGTGTTAACTCCAGCACAATTTTTGTTTCATTTTCTTAAGACTAATCTTTTAGAGCAGTTTTAAGCTCACAGCAAAAATGAGAGGAAGGTGCAGAGATTTCCCACATACTCCCACCCCGTCCTCACATGTATACACCTATTATCATCATCCCCACGGGAGTGGTATGTTACTAGAACTGCTGAGCCTGCACTGACTCACTGTGATCACCCGGGGCACGCAGCCTACATCTCGGCCTCACTCTTGGTGATGTTCGTCTGTAGGTTTGGACGGAGGCATAAGGACTTGTACCCACCATTCCAGCATCATACAGAAAACTTTCACTGCCCTAAATATCGTCTACATACCACTTATTCATTCTTCCCCCACCCTGGAAAACACTGATTTTTTTAATGTCTTCATGGTTTTGCCTTTTCCAGCACAGTTTTTAAAACAAATAAGAATGTGAACATCTCAGGCAGGACTTGTCTGCTCAGCTTGTGCTAGCACCCAAAATGCCCTGACGTCCTGCTCCAGCCCTGTCACCTGGCTCCAGAAGACATCTGTGTTTGCCACCATTATCGTGTCAAGGGAAGGATTGGGGTAGCAGCAGTACAGAAAATACAGGACTCATCTCAAGTCCTCATCTACCATTAGTTCTCTCGGTCTTGCCACCTACCCCTTACCACCTCTAACCAAAGCTGGAGATGGGACACAGTTCCACTTGATTTCTCCCTGCCCTCATTCACAAAGGAGCACCAGTGCACTGAAGCATGGCCAAGTGTAGACTTGTGACTAGGTGGGAGGAGAAGGCAGGAGCCTGGGAAATCACAGCATGTTAGAGCTGGGAGCAGGTCCCGGCAACCACACTGGCCAGCTCCTTCCTCTGTCCATGAGGACTCTGGAGTCCAGAGTAGAGAAATGCCTTCCTCCATCCAGCTTCTGAGTGACAGAGCTGGCCCAGAATGCAGCTCTCCTCCTCAGCTGGCCACTGCTAATCCCCCCAGCCGCCCAGCCCCCTTTGAGCTTGTGCAAAGTCACTCCCAGCTCACCTTGCCTCGACCTGTGTCAATTAATCCACTGGCTTCTCTGCCACACAGGAGACCAGTCTGGGGATGAAAGCATCACTCAGATGCTCAAGCGAGCTCACGACTGCAGGAAGACAGCTGAGAACGCCGCCAAGGCCCTGCTCATGAAGCTGGACGGCAGCTGCGGGGGCGCCTTCGCGGTGGCTGGCTGCGGCGTGCAGCCCTGGGAGAGCCTGTCCTCCAACAGCCACACCAGGTGAGGCTCGGTCCTTCTGCCCCAAGGCGGGTGTGCACATGCACACATCCCCAGCTCACCACCAGCTCTTGGGGACTGTGTGGTGCGGATAAAAGCAGAGGTCCCTCAGGCTTGCAGCCTGCTCCATCCAAACAGGTATCAGAGGATGAGAACAGGAGAGCCGTATGTGGAATCTGTAGACCAGAGGGAAAGGGCGATGTGCTCTGGAATGTGGCAGAGATGGAGCCTGAACCTTTCTGTCTGGTGCTTTTTCTCCCATATTGTTTTGTTCTCCATTTCTTTATAATACTTGACAGCCAGGAAGGCATTTGGAGTAGCCAAGACCCATTTTCAGCAAGCAGTCCCCCAGCCCAGCCCAGCCCAGCCCAGGCGGCTCCAGGGTCTACCCTTCCTCCCTCCCTCTTGCTGTGTCTTTGGCAGGCTGTCCCCAGGCAAAGGCTTCTCCTCTCATCTCTCTCACTCTGTAGAGTGATGCCATGTTTACAGTCCATGCTTAGCAGACGCAGGTTCATCGTGAACCTGAATCCAGTTCCCTGTGAATCTAGAAAACTGAAGTGGATACTGAGGAGGGGGGGGGAGCTAGGAAGACTGTTCTTAGGGGAACCTGCAGGAGCCTTTGACTCCTCGGGTGGGAGGTGGGAGTCAGAATGAATCCTTCCCTAGCTACCATCTCCTTTCTCACCACCAAAGCCCTAAAACATGAATGTCCTCCCTTTACATACTGGTCCTCACTCTAGAAGTTGCTCTGTTAGCGATTCTGATGCGATTGCTAAATGATGAGAGACTAGGAAGAGCAACTTACTCCATTTTCACAGATGAGAAAACCTTTACCCAGGGCTGTGTAAATCACCTGCCTAAGGCCACATGCCCAGTAAGGGGGGAACCTGACCTCAAAACCAGGGCTTCACCACCAAGCATGTTGTTCTTCCCTCTATACCCTGGTGGGGCTCGTGACGTCGTAAAGTAGCATCTACTCCCAGATCAAGCAACCAGACCAACAAGGACAAATGAATTTCAAGAGCCAAAGAGAAATATTTTTTCTTCTTTTTTGAGCCAGAGTCTTACTCTGTTGTCCAGGGTAGAGGGCCGTGGCCTCATCTTAACTCATAGCAACCTCCAACTCTTGGACTTGACCAATCCTCCTGCCTGAACCTCCCGAGTACCTGGGACTACAGGCGCCCACCACAATGCCCAGCTAGTTTTTCTATTTTTAGTAGAGACGGAGTCTTGGTCTTGCTCAGGCTGATCTCAAACTCCTGAGCATAAGCAATCCATTCGCCTCAGCTTCCCAGAGTGCTAAGATAACAAGTGTGAGCCATCAGGTCCTGTCAATACTGATGTTTTCTTGGTGCCTGAAAGCAATTTCCTGTCCCCTCTCTATTACCTAGTGGCCCAGGACACAGGCACCTGCCACAGTGTAGTCACTTACCTGTCCTGGACTAAGTGTCCCAGAAGAGGAGACATTCCCAGTGATGCACCAAACATCACTGACTCCATCACTTTCCTCCTGACTCCAGCAACAATTGTCTTATTCAGTGAAGTACATATTACAATTTATTCTTTTTCTTAAAACCAGATTCTTCTGTTTAAATGCAGAAAGCAGATGCTCTTCTTAATGACTTTTCCAGATGTATATAATCTGTAGTTCCTGTGTTCATTTAGTGTGGAAATGTAATCCTTGCGCCATCAGTGACACTGCTCGGTTGAATTAGTGAATGCCAGAGTTTGGGGACAGGAAATGTGTGCCTTTTCAGGAGCTTATGAGCTTTGTGCTACAGATTATTTGCTCACACCCCCCCCCAGCCCCCAAAATAATTTTGTTGTTTTATTTTGAATGAGAGATAAATTAAGAATCAGAAAAGAGAACATTTTTTCACCATCTAATTATTAGCGATAATAGATTTTGAATGTGTGTTAGAGATAGTTTAACTTAGAAGTGAGCCTGGATTTTGAGACCATTTTCTTAGAGAAATTTAGGTGGGCAGTGTATTTAAGCAAGTTGAGATAAATTTAGGCCACAGAGTCATCATTTTCAAGGATAGCCTCCCCAAAGAATGGCTCTTGAACTAAATTCAGTCACAGAGAGGTTCTCTCATCAGATACTGGTAGTTGACAAGGCTCAGCCTTTAGGGGACCACTCAGGGGAGTGGCTTAAGTGCCAAATATCACCTCGACTGACCCATCCTTTAAGTAAACTTCAAATGCTCAACAGCTGTCAGGTCCTCTGGAACTTTCCTTCTGAAAAAAAGCTGCTCCTTGATGGAAATCAATTCTCCACTGGGGCCAAGTAACACAATGATTAAAAACCATGGGAAAATCTCATCACTGATTTTCAAGGCAAAAGAAACGAAATATTTTCCTAACCTTCTGCCAAGGCAAGCTGAGGAAGCTGAAGAAAAATGAATTTTTCTTCTAACAAGTAGGCTGGGGAGTTATCTTGGGGACAGAAATGGTGGAAAGGGATGGGAGAAAGGACGTTTGACATGGGGGCTGTTTGAAAAGCACATCCCAAGTGGCTCATCCCAGATGGGTCCTCCTAAGCCCGCCAGCCATGCCTTCCCACTGGGCCATGGGCCACCACTGCAGGGTATGGAGAGATCTGTGCAGTTAGCAGGTGCAGGGGACGCTTGGGTGCCCAAAGCTCCCAGACCAGCAGGAAAGGGGAACCCCCAACTCCTGGCCTAGCTCCTCTGAAACCCAGAGCTGGGGAGCTGCTGGGCCCTTCTTCCTGTGGCTCTCAGAACACACACAGCCTCCCGCCTGGCTGCAAAAAGAGACTGGTTCCCCTGTGACAGCTCAGATCATGAGTGTTCCAAGCGGGAGAGTTAATGGATGACTTAACCCTCACCCAGCGCTGCCAGCAGGCCCCAGGAGACCGCCAGCGCCTTTGTCTGCAGGAGGCCAGAGGAAAGGCCAGTGGCTCCCCCTCCTTTTAGCACTGTCATAATCATATTCTGCAGTGGAACATTAAAAGCAGAAAGCTGAGTTATAATTAACCTCCCCTGATCTGTCCCCGCTGGTGTCTTGGAAGGAAGAGAGGGAAGCCGGAAGGGCCATGGAGCTTATCTTGAAATTAAACTTTCTTCCAGCTAAAAGCATTTTAAACCTCTGTGAGCTTCCAGCAGGGTAAGATTTGTGGACTGAAATCTTTCATTCTGTTTTTTTTTTTAAATTTTCTTATTTTCTTCCTTTCTGAAAACTATACTCACAGCAAAGAAGGTGAAACAAAAGCCTTCCCCCCTACCCAGGAATCAACGTGTGGGTGGGCCCAAGAGGGTGGCAGAGCCAGTGAGTCTCTGCCCCTCACATTCACGTTCTCCCAGAAAGTTCTGGTTTCTCAAGTTCATACAAATACTGGCGGCTTTTCTTCTCTACTAGATGGAGGTTTTCTAGATGGGCTGCAGATGGCTGACAGCCCTCAGACATCCCTGAGTCCAGGCATGGGTGTTGGGGGGCTGCTGGTACAGCTGTCAAGACAGTGGCCACCTGTCCCTCCTGCTCCCCAAAGGGTGGCAGCACTAGCTGGGCCTGCCTGCGTCAGGACGGTCATAGCCTTTCCATAACCAGGTAGGGTAGTCACAGTTCTTCTATATTTATTTACTGCAAACTAGAAAGGTTGAGCAACTCACTCTGGGCCATAGAGTTAGGGAGTAGCAGAGGAAAAATGTTTATCCAGGTCTGACTGATGTCACAGAGATGCTCATAATCACTGCACCCACCAAAGCAGCCCAGGGGCACGGCGGCTCTGGCTAGCTTGCAGGCAACTAAGCAAATGCCACTTACCCTCTGGGGTAGACCAGTCGTTCCCAAACCCAAACAGCATCAGAATCATGTTTATTCTAAATGTTTGAAATTTTTCCAAATCTTAATGAAAGACTAGAGGGGTAAGTTCACCTCAGGGCCTGTGTCCCAGCCCCACAGGGAAGGATTTCATTCCTGAAGTGGCCTCCCAGCTAACTGGAAGAGAAATGCTGTGTAAACACATTGTGGCTGTCTCACATGCCCACGCTCGGCCCTGGGCTGAGCACAGTGCCACTTCTGAGCGTGCCCTAATTCTGTTGCTCATTCGTCTGTAGAGCACTGAATTGTGTCCCTCCACGTCAGTGTTGTCAGTCTGGTTGGTGCGAGGCCCGCCCTCCCCGCAGCGGTTTGCAGGAGGGAGGAACCTCCTGGGCCCAGCCCCGGCAGCCTTCTCCCTCACGCGCCCCGGGCCCTCTGCTGTGGGCACTGTTTGCTCCTTGGGCTTCCCCTGAGCTGCCCGTCATTTCATTGTGGAGTAATAGCTGACACCTTCCAGCTGGAACATGGGGCTTCTCCCTTCTCATCCTTTTTAAAATATAGCTTGAGACAATGGTGGTGATTAGTAATAATTTTTATCCTTCTCCCTTCCTTCCCTGTCCCATCCCAGGATTCTAGCACCTGTCCCCAGCATTGTCATAGTAACCTCCCGAGGGGTCCACTCACCTCTGCCCTAATCTGCCTACATCTCTCCTCAACATAGTGGCCAGAGGGGTCCTGTTAGAACATGAGGCAGATCATGCCACTCCCGTTACAAACCCTCCGGTGACATCCATCCTAATTCTAAAAAAAAAGATTCGGTTCGGCCCCTGTGAAGAGCTAGGTGACCTGGTACCTGGCCCCTCCACCTCACTCTCCTCTTCCTCTCCTCTGGCTGACTTAGCCACTGTCTGTTCCCGCTGGACAAGCTCACGCCTCCGGGCCTTTGCACTTACTCTGTCCTCTGTCTGGGTCACTCTTCCTCCAGATAGCCACATGGCTCCCTTCCTCACCCCTGCCTTAGGTCCACTCTAATGTCACCCTATCACGGAGGCCAGGGGTGTCCAACCTACAGCCATAACCTGCGTGCTGATTTTATGAGAACGTTTTTTTGCTTATTTACCTGTGGTGTCAGATACCAAGAAACATATGCACAGACCTTTTCTTTGCTAATTAGCTTCCATTAGCATCTGTGTGTTTGATGTGTGGCCTAAGACAACTCTTACTCTTCTAATGTGCAGCAAAGAGAAAAAAGGTAGACACCCCTGACGAGGCCTTCTCTGCAGCTCTATTTCTAACAAGAGCCCCACCCCCTCGCTGCGCCCCCCACGCCTCCTCCCTGTCTGTAGCTCTGTGTATTTCACACACTTACCTGTGAGAAAAGAGTCCCAAGAGGGCAGGGGTTTTAGGGCCCCTGGTGGCACCCCAGTATTCCTAATGAGTGACTGTGATTGATGTCCACTCTGTGCCAAGCACTTGTCTAAACACTTCGCGTTTTCTGTCAGGTAATCCCTACCCCAGCTTGTGTCACTCTGTCTTGAAGCCGAGGAAGCGGGAGCAAGCAGAGGGTGTAAGGTGCTCGGGTCCCCGGGTAGAGGCAGCACTTCAGTGTCAGGGATCTGCAGAGAAACAGAGCAGAAGGCCATGCATCTCCGGAGAGATGTTCATATCCAGACACACAGAGAGACCTGGCTCCGTCTCTATGCAGATGCTTCTGTCTGCACACACGCTGATTTATTTGAAGGATTCACTCATTTGATTATGGGCCAGCAAGTCCACACTCTGCAGGCAGGTGGAGACACAGGGAGGGGTTGATGCAGCAGTCTTGGGTCCAAAGGCTGCCTGGAGGCAGACTTCCTTCCTTCTGGGGGGACCTCAATCATTTAAGGCCTCAGCTGAGTAGATGAGATGGAATGCTTGAGTTAATGTGTTGAGATCAGACCTTCCACGTGAAAGGGATTAAGCTTGACCTACGGTGTCCTGAATGTAAAGATTAATCACATCTAAAACATACCATTACAGCCACATCTGGTCTGTGTGGCAAGCAGCAGGAAATGATGGCCTCGTCCAGCTGACACAGGTTGCCCTCCCCAGCCCCTGAGGAGGTGCTGGTCAGGCCAGTCTCACTCACTTTATCTCCAAGTGACTTCCCACCTGTCCTTATGAGACAGAGGACGGCCCCACAGGGCTCATAGGGCTCAGGAGTTTCCCATCCGAGAAGGGGTTCTCCCACATGAAGTGTGCCCCCAAACCCTGGAGTGGTCTCTTCCTCCTGTGGGAGGCAGCTGAGTGGCAGAGCTCCAGCCATTGTCTCCTCTCACTCCTCCTTCCCCCATCTTCTCCGTGACCTGTCATGTATAAGGGGGAATCACCTTTACTTACACCCAGGATATGGGGAGGGGCTGCACCTGCTGTGTTGGGGGCCTGGGTCTGGTGTCCCATTCCAGTGTGAGCTGAGACCAGTCACTCCTGCTCCTGACATAGCTTCTAGCTGCAGGAATCTTGGGAAGAGGGCAGGCTGTGGGGTGAGAGGGTCTCAGCCTGAGTCTTGTGGCACCACTTGGCGGGTATATGACTCAGGAAGCTAATGTCTCTGAGCTTCACTTTCCAAATCAGTAACAACAGAGAGGACAATGCCAACCAGGCCTGTCCTGCTTATTCCTCTGCCTCCTTTCCAAAGCAGTCCAGTAAGGAGGGAGTCAAGCCAGGCCCAGTGCAAGTACAGAAAAGCTGCTGTTGGTCCGCACCAGCCCCACCTCCCTAAGGACTGGCTGGTGGAGGGGGCCTTAGTCTGAGCCACTGGGGGCAGCCTGCCCACTGCTAGAGAGGGACTGAGCCCTCGGGACAGCCTGGCCTCAGCTTCCAGTGGTGCTCACCCTTTCAAGGTGAGCTTCTGGGGCACCACAGGGCTGGGGTCAGATGGGAACTGCTCAGGTCTGGCAGCCCCAGCCTGGTCACAGTAAGGCACAGGCTGCCAGGGCTCCTCGGCCCAGCCTGAGTGATCGTAGGGACACTCTGCTCCCGCTGTGAGGCATAGGGGCACTCTTCCTTCAAAGCGGTGTTTGCTATATCTCACTGTGTTGTTCATGGTACAATATAGAAGGAAACCTCCTGCCTCCGTGCCCCCAGGGGTCTTCTGCCTCCCTGGGGACATGTCACACATCCGTGGATCCTGCAGGCATTTTGGTTTTCAACTTCTTTGTTCCATTAACTATTTTCTTTTTAAGTTTAAGGCATAGAGCCACATGTGTACCTGTTTTTTTTGTTTTGTTTTGTTTTGTTTTTTGAGACAAAAGTCTCAAGCTATTGCCCTGGGTAGAGTGCCTTGGTGTCATAGCTCACAGCAACTTACAACTCTTGGGCTCAAGTGATCCTCCTGCCTCAGGTTTTTTTTTTATTTTTGGTAGAGACAGGGTCTTACTTTTGCTTAGGCTGATCTCAACTCATTAACTCAAGCATTCCACCCACCTTGGCCTCCCTGAGTGCTAGAATTACAGGCATGTGCCACCTCACCGGCCTGTGCACCTGTTTTTATTACACATCTGTTATTTCCCGTTCTCTTTCGTCATTTACAGCTTCTCCACCATTGTCATAACTATCGCTGTGACAGCCACATCATGTCCCTTCTTTGCATACGTGTGATAATTCATTAAGCCACATTTTAGATTATACTTCATGAAACATCCTCATAGGTGTGTATCATTTTGCTTCTGGAAAACTGTTTCCTTAGAAATTCACTTCTGGGGTCCACAGCACTGCAGCAGAGCATGGAAACATTTCTGTCATTCTTCATGCTGTGTTCTTTTCTGAAAGCTGGTGCCATTTTCCTAAAGCCTCAAAGAAAACTGACTTTGCCCTGCCACAGAAACAACACTGGGGAGGGGAGTGTGCTGAGAGTAAGGGGAGAGGACTTTTTAGCGACAACCTGGAAATGTGGTGAATTTTTTCTCCTCAGCACAACCAGCTCCACAGCCAGCAGCTGCGACACGGAGTTCACTAAGGAAGATGAGCAGAGGCTGAAGGATTACATCCAGCAGCTCAAGAACGACAGGGCCGCGGTCAAGCTGACCATGCTGGAGCTGGAAAGCATCCACATTGATCCCCTCAGCTACGACGTCAAGCCCCGTGGGGACAGCCAGAGGCTGGACCTGGAAAACGCCGTGCTAATGCAGGAGCTGATGGCCATGAAGGTACGTGCT